TCATCCTCGTCACATTCGTCAGGTTTTTCCTCCCAAAGCTTGACAGCCTCTCTTAGCTATTCCTAGCTTTCTAATGATATCAGGATTGTTGTTGTACTCCAAATATTAAGCGAAATATGTCACATTATATAATGACTGTCACCGAGTCATCATTTTGAGAAAAAGGCCTTAAAGTTTCCTCTTCTCTGGAATCCATCGATCTGATTGATTATTAGTAAATGATCAAAATACTACGGAGGGAAGATATTTTCATTTGGAGGGGAAGCTCGCAAGTGTGTGTGTATACGTGTGTGTGTGCGTATTGTGTTTGTTTCCCGGGGAAAACCCTCACGAGAAACATCGGCTGTTGTTATGCCTGCTGTGACGTTAAGTTACTCCGTTCTCCGCTTGTAATTATGCCTTTACAAGCTTCAAAATTGTATTTATCATCTGAATTTGCCGAAACAAGTTTAATATTCTGAAAGCCAATACTTTGTTTAATTGAAATCAGATGAAAACAAACTGTAACGGACCCTGCCGTGTTGTCTATGATTACTATACTCTTACATTCATAATTTCAGCCGGAGGGAGGGGTGCGGCGCTGCGGAAGAGCAGATTACAAGCTTCAAAAATATATTTATCGTGTGATTTTGGAAATAAAAGTTTCATATTCTGAAAGCCAAGACTTTGTTTGTTTAAAATCAAACAAAACACCCGAAATGAGCCGTTGCGACTTCCGACTGATTTCGATAGAGCGGGTCACATATATCGATAAATGTTGTTTTGTCTGCGAAACAATACATTTAGACTGCATTCATTGTTTTGGATAGTGCAAACAGGTAACGCACCTTACCTTACTGATTTGCAAAACCCATCAGACGGTGGGCGGGGAAAAAAACGTGTTCGTCAGAATCGTCACTTCCTGTCCTGACAGTGGAGGTCTGCACCGGTGTCAGTACCAGATATGTTCGGGATACCAGATATGTTCGGGTGTATTTCCGTCGCATCCGTCTTTCGTCATATTCGTCATATTTTACGGCAACTCAAGAGGGCCATCACGGTCAAATTCCGAACATTTAAACATAGCCGACACTTCATTCTTTACTTTGTCCGTTATTATATATAGAAGATTATACTTTTTCTCCGTCATGTTGTTTCCTTAGCAACAACTTCAAACAGGCATAGCCTACACTTCATCCTTTACTTTGTCCATTATTATATGTAGAAGATATTATTTTTTTCTCCGTCATGTTGTTTCCATAGCAACAACTTCAAACAATAACAACTAACCGCTAGCCGCAAAGCTAGCTTCACAGCCACTACTCCGTTTTCGGAGACTTTGCACACGTTTTTCACAAACATTTTCACACGCTAGGAGTACTTCCAATAGCTTCGTCTTGATCTGTAGATGTGATTTGATGTGTCGTGTGTCCCCCAACTCCTCTCCAAAGTTCAGATATTTAATAAAATACTCAGGGGAGTTTCCTGAATTTTCATGCCCAAAGCCAAGCACTAGGCCCTGGGTAAATTAAGAGGCTGATCTCGGGCACTTTTGTCCACTTTCCCTGGTGGTCGAAACTCAAGCCAGACATCCCTGGAATCGTCTCAGAGAGTAGATGATCAGTGGGGCCTGGTTTTTACTGAATAATGTGTTTTTTTATGATGAATTCAAATATGAGCTTATTTTTAGGATTTTCGGAGACTTTGCACACGTTTTCACAAACATTTTCACGCTAGGAGTATGGGAGTACTTCCATTCGCTTCGTCTTGATCTGTAGATGTGATTTGATGTGTCGTGTGTCTCCCAACTCCTCTCCAAAGTTCAGATACTATATACAAATACTAAAAGGTAAATAAAACATTAAACATAATGACAAAATAACAACCTGAAATATATGTATTCTATCTACACATTTCGTAATTATCTAATCTAGTGGCCTTATAAAAGTGTTATAACGCAGAATATATATTTTTTTTAATTGTAAATAATTAGAAACATTATTTATGTGCACAAGTACATGGGACCCCACCATAGCACCCCACACATAACAAGCTGTCCCGAGTTCCTCCGGCTGCAGTTCCGCAGACGGCCGGTGTGTGGCAGCAGAGCGCTGGGAGCAGAGGGAGGTGAGTATATGACGGATATGACGGAAGACGGATGCGACGGAAATACACCCGAACATATCTGGTGGCCCGAACATATCTGGTAGCCCGAACATATCTGGTACTGACACCGGAACTCTCCTGACAGTGGAGGTCTGCAGGCAGACCATGGATGTATAATAAGAACTAGATACAGCGTGGGAGGCGGGGCCTCATTCATTCCTATGAGAGCTGCTCATTAGGGCATGATGATAAAATGGCCCAACTTTTGAGAGTGAAACGTCACAGATTACCCAGCATGCCTGAGAAGTACCCGTATGTGCACTCATAGAGCATGCGCAACTTTAACCAAAATGCTCGTTCACATCAAGCACGTCAATTTGCCTACACGTAAATGTTATCATGGATTTGATATGAACGAGGCGGCAGTTAGCGGCTAGCTAGTAATGATGCTAATGTACACATCAATCGTTATGTTACGTACTTATATTACGCTGTAACAGGATCTAGTGATATCCAAGCAACAGAGCTTCATTTAGCATGAAATAATTATTGCACTGTATATATATATATATATATATATATAGTGCAATAAGCTTCTTAGTGCAATACGAAGCTACAGGGACGTTAATAATGTCGGTAATATTAACTTTATTTAATACAACATTTACGGTACAAGATTTAATCATACAGCCCATGTAGTATGATAATGAATTACAGCAAACATGTGCAATATATCCATTATTACAGCTCCGTGGGATGGCAGTAAGACGATATGGATCCGTTCTTATTGTGCACCCATGGGTAAAGATAAACGCAACTCACATTGGTTTCTCATACAGCATCTCTGTAAACTACGTGTATTCACTGAATTTCACTCTCTGCCTTTAACGGCTCGTTGTAGCTCCAATAGCTCCAGCCCCACCCTCCCTGTGAGCACAGTGTGCTCTGATTGGTCGGGACACGTAACATGAATGTGCCGGGCGGCGCGGTCCCGTGGGTTAGATGCGCGTTCATAATGCAGAGGGAAATAACTCTCAGAATAACGTTATTAGCACATTTTTACAACTTGAGAAACGAATGTTTTTAATAAGGGCTATACAAGTGTTCATACTGGGTAGTTTATTTAGTTCAAAAAAAATTATCCAACGAGTTACAGACCACTCTTTCCCCATGTAAGTCAATGGGAAAAAGTGTTTCCGGGCCTGGCAACCAAACGGAAGTGTAGTACCGCCGTTAGGCCAGCACGAATATTTTCATCTGAGTCCGGCGCACTTCCTGGGGGCTTGAGGCAGACCCCTCTCAAAATCCCTCTCTCATCTCACATAGAAGATATGATTGGAGACGACCAGTATGGAGTCAGATTTGGGTCAATATTCTAGCGCGTAAAACAAGCTACTCACGAGCGGAAAATGTGCTTTTACACGCGCATAAAATGACCCTCGCGCGCAGATTAAACCCCCGCGAGCGGCTCTGCGCTCGCTCGCGAGAGAGACAGCCCTCTTGCTTGCTCGCGGGAGTGTCAGCCTCGCGGAGTCTGTCTACGCGCGCGTGAAAAGTTTCTGGCACTTTGGGGCGGAGCCACTGGACTTTGATTGACAGCTGCCAGGAAACCCGGGGTTGCCAGGTTTGATAAATGCCTGAACTGCCAAGAGCCGAGCAGTGACGGCAGCAACATCTAGGTACGTACAGCAGACAGTAGCTAGCAGTTTTCGACGGACACAGCCCACTGAAAAATATATTGTTTTATATCAAATTAATGTATATTACATTACATTACATTTAGCTGACGCTTGTATCCAAAGCGACTTACAATAAGTACATTCGACCAGGAAGACACAACCTTGAAGAAAACAGAATCATATATATATATATATATATATTAGCTGTACACTTTACGAATATAATAGTTTTTTATGGACAACTTTACCATTCAATCTCGTCCAACTGATTTTGCTGCCGTCACCTGCTCGGCTCTTGGCAGTTCAGGCATTTATCAAACCTGGCAAACCCCGGGTTTCCTGGCAGCTGTCAATCAAAGTCCAGTGGCTCCGCCCCAAAGTGCCAGAAACTTTTCACACGCGCGTAGACAGACTCCGCGAGGCTGACACTCCCGCGAGCGAGCAAGAGGGCTGTCTCTCTCGCTCGCGAGCGCAGAGCCGCTCGCGGGGGTTTAATCTGCGCGCGAGGGTCATTTTATGCGCGTGTAAAAGCACATTTTCCGCTCGTGAGTAGCTTGTTTTACGCGCGAGAATATTGACCCAAATCTGACTCCATAACCAGCCAATCAGAATTGACCTTCTCGAGTTCTCCGATTGGTTGGTTTTGTGGCACATTTGTAACGCTGTGACAACTTGAGCGAGCACAGGCAAAGCTGAGCGCGCACAGGCTGGAGAGGTCGAGCGAGTCGAGCGGAGGAGAGAGAGCGCGTGCAGCGGGTCTGCTTGCGCACGGGAGCAGGAGTTTTATGAGAGAAAATATATTTCTCTGTGCTCAAAAATGTTCAAGTGCGCGCTCAATCGCATTTTCTATGCTCAACATGTTTCCTTGCGTGCTCAGGATAGAGGCACAAATATAACGCCATATTGTTTGGGATGTCTGGATATAACATTTGCACACTGAATGCATGAAATAAGTTTAATCTACAATCGTTTAATTATGATCTTATAGGTTTTGTAAAAAGGATTGCAAATCTTTGCCTCAACTTGGTTTCCATATGGTTTTTGCTGTCATTTAAACAAAGTTCTCTAGTTTTAAGAAATGTACAAAGAGCTTCACCTTAAATATAAAGGTTGTTGCTAACCATTTATTTAAATTTAGCTAAATGTATATATGCCTTTCTTAATATAACATGTTTTACTAATGCAACATGTCTAATATTTTAAAGCTGATTACGCAAATGAAGATGCGCATTAATAAAACTTTTAATGTACTCCTTTAATCATACATATGTAAAACAAAAATGCTCACCAGAAGCATAACTTTTACAGCCAAGACTATAGAATGACACAGATCCCATAGGTGGCTCCAAATGTTCCCACATACTACATTCACAATGCCACAATCATGACTTGGTAACAGTCATCATCCAGGAGCCTCACACTAACAAACCAGCCTAACCACCAGTGACTATGGGAATCTAGTCAATGGAGGAAAAATATTATTTATTGCATTGGATTCACACACAGCATGAGACTATACAGTATGTGCACACTATGGCAAACTTTTAAGATGAGTCTTAATTAATTTCAGGATTATTTTCCTCTGAATTGAAAACATTAGATCAAGTTATTACAGTGACAATGAAGTGAGTGCAAACATTATTCATATGGTTTTCAGTTCCTATTAGAAACAAAGGGCTCTATAACTGGCATAGCCTCTTAGATTTGCACCCTACATTATGTCTTGTATGTAAGTTGGCTTTGCCATAATAACATACAAATGTAGTTCCACGTTTCAAAATGGAATCAGGAAGGGAGGAATTTGTTTTTCAAGGTAATGTTCTTTTAATGACAGCAGTGCAAAGCAGTAACGTCTTCATAGTGATACATCATAACAATATACAGTACAGTAGCTCAATGCACTTACATCATTACTTCTGCTGTGTATTTGTAAGATTCATTGACCTGAACTTGAATGTTTTATTTTTACTGTAACCAGAGCTTCTCAGAGCATTAAACTGCTACCTCGTGCACACTCTAAACTGGGAATTTATTTTTTCCATGTCAGCATCTTATCAAAACGGTCAAAATAACGCAGTAACTTACTATCATCAAAACAGCAATGTAAAAAAACCCTGTCGAATCAACTTCTAAACTGCTGTCAGTCACAATACAAATATTTATAATGGGTACATAAAATGACAAAATGAACATTAAGAGATTATAAGCATTCATTTTGTGTACATTCAGTACAATGTCACCTCATTAGAATTCACCTAAAATAAGTCTCTGACCTTATCAGCCACTTGCATGAACACATACATTTAAAGCTGTTAAATTAAACACAAACACACAATAAATACAAGGAGTGGTGGATGTAAAGTAACAGTCAGTGTTATCTATCTAAAAGTTTCCCAGAGTTTTTGCATTGTTGTGTTTTATGCGATGATGTTCAATGTCACAAGCCTTCCCTTCCTGTCACATCATCAGCGCAACTATTGTTTCTGACACATCAGTTGGCACACCTTGTGTTGCTCCTCACACAGCCACATCGTTTATGCTCTGAAAATAAGACAACCGCAAAACACTCCTCTCTCTCAGAAGAATCCCTCCAACTGATGTTACATTCAACTATAAGAAATAAGTGCATTGCCTTATTTCAGCTAGCTTTGGTAGCTATAAGGTCCAAGAATCAGCTGAGTCCCAGTTCTACTCGCTGCTAATTATAAATTAATTTGAGTCAACTTTAATGTGCCCTACGAGCTACGACACCTGCTTAACAGATAAGCTCTTGGATGTTTTATATTTTCTTTCAAATAAGAAACGATATGATAATGCCTGCCTTATCCGTTACACTGAGTGCAGGTTACAGGTGGTACTGTTAGCATGAAACTGTAAAGTAGTACTGTAAAAAACAGCATAGTCCAAACGATTAATATGGAGGAAATGTTGTACGTTCGAACTATATATTATGGAACTGGGACATCTGCATTTGAAAACAACTGGGATGTTTGAAGGCAGTCTTTGGCACTATATGATTTTGTATTTACAAGACAACATACTTGATGTCGTCTTCTGACTTCAGTATTGCTTACCAACACCAGCAGTTTTGGAGCAGGTCCAACTAAAACCCTTGTTTTCATTAACACCCTTGCTTTAATAGTCAAACACAGTTGTTCCAAAGTGTAGAACAACTCCTCACTTTATCTCCCTGTCCCTCTTTATTTCAGGACCTAATTGCAGGACGGCAGAGGTGCTGTGGTGGCTCAGAGGCGATTCTGGACAGAGTGAGGAGACTCCTGCTTCACACCAGCCCGGCGTCCTTGGCCATTTTGTAGAATGCTCCTCTTTGAGCAATGAGATTGGAAGGGGTGTCAAACTCTGCCATCTCTCCCTTGTCCAACACCAGGACCCTAAAGGATCAGAACACTGATGAACTGTCACAGTACGAGGAGCAAAAGAACACTCACGTCACTCACTCTACCTGGAGTAGTCCATGATGGTGTTGAGGCGATGAGCGATGGTGAGGACGGTGCAGTCGTCAAACTGTGAGCGGATGGTGGACTGGATCAGGTTGTCTGTCTCCATGTCCACAGCAGCTGTGGCCTCATCCAAAACCAGGATTTTGGTCTTCCTCAGCAGAGCTCGGGCCAAACACAGCAGCTGCCTCTGACCTACACTGGTGGGAAACACACATGCTTCCATAAGCCAACAGATACTTAGGATTTCTGACAGTCATTTATTAATGGCAGTTTTTTTTGTATGTATTGTGAACAGGATGCTGCGTAAATGTGGGCCTGCCTCACACAGGGGGACTGGCTGTCTACATGATGTGGCCTGCCGACATGGCCACTGTCACACCGATCATACATTAAAGCCCTCGAAGGGTGTCAGTATGTGTGGCGAGAGTGAGTGTACGTGTTTTGTTGTCTGGTGCTAGCTAGCTGCTCTAACGGCTATAAGAGGCTGTTTCAACAACAAGGTGGAGGAGAGCTCTCTGTTGTCAGACTGAGAGGCTGATAACTACAGCTCAGTTAGGTAAAGGACTATTTGAGTGTTTAGATAGTTAACTTTAGTCTAAGTTCTCAGCGGGTCTCGGTTTGGTCTCGGTTTGGTCACCATTCATGTAAACACATATTTATTTGAAAGGGGAGAGATTACTAAAATATGCATGAATACAAAATAAATGTTAGCTAGGTGAAAAAAGATAAGATAAACTTACAAAACTTGTTGAGAGCTAAAACTAGTCTTTCCTGCTACGTCAGAGGAGCAGGGGGGAGAAGCTGATTCAGGAGACACACTCACAACTATAAATGAACCAAAAACAAATAAATAAACAAGTTTCAATGTTTTTTCATATTGGATATGGTATGTTATTGGTTATGGCCATATTCTTATGATTTTAGGATTATTGAAATGTATACAGGTCTATTTCATATGGGTGTTTCCATATATCTATTCTCTTTATTTGCCCTTTAAATTCCACCAGATTGATGCATTTACCTCAAATTAAAAATAAAAACTTCTAAGGGGAGCATGCCCCCGGACCCCCTAGAGCAGGGATGGGCAACTTGGATGGTGGTGGGGGCCACATAATGTATGTACTGGCCACCAGGGGGCCGTACCCACCACAACACCACACACACACACACACACACACACACACACACACACACACACACACACACACACACACACACACACACACACACACCACACACACACACACACACACACACACACACACACACACACACACACACACACACACACACACACACACACACACACACACACACACACACACACACACACACCACACACACACACACACACACACACACACACACACACACACACACACACACACACACACACACACACACACACACACACACCACACACACCACACACACACACACACACACACACACCACACACACACACACACACACACACACACACACACACACACACACACACACACACACACACACACACACCTCTGTTGCTCTTATTGTCCCAGTCCGGCACTGATGGCAGTGTTAGAGCCAATTCCAAATAAAAAAAATCAACACAACCTGCAGATGTTTCACATTACAGGTATACCAGGAAAGAGAAAAGCTTTCAATGAGAAATGATTTTGACTGTCCCTGATCGTAACTGTATAAATAAAAAAGCCAAGTAGAAGTAAATTGAATGAATTGCCAAGTGAGAACAGTGTAGGTGATGATTCCCCTATTGGCTACGTTTGCAAACAAATACTTACTTCACTTTCACAAGCCAGACTCAAACAAATGCCTTGTTCTCTCTGCAGCTGAGCTGAGTTTTTGCTAGTTGGCATGGCTGAATATTAATCAGTTACCTGAGGTTCTCTCCTCCTTCACTACACTCATGGTTGAGTTTGTCTGGCAGGCCGGATACGAAGCTCTTGAGATGTGAATACTCCAGAGCTCTCCATACTTCCTCATCAGAGTAGCTGTCAAAAGGATCCAGGTTCATCCTCAGGGAGCCTGAAAACAGCACTGGGTCCTGTGAAGAGGGGGAGGGATTTAAGTATTTTCATTCCACGCATCCCATCAATGGAATTCAATACCACAACCAATAAGAGAATCCTCATCCTACAACACATTCAAGCACAGTGTTAAAAAGTGGCTCATTGATAATCAACAGTGCCAGCACTGATGTGTGGGTGTAGGTGTGTGTGTGAGTGCGTATTGTGAATGTTTTCTTTATTATCATGACTTGCTCCTTACCTGTATTCAGTGATGTCATCTATTGTAAATATGTACATTTTTTGGTATAACAATGTAGTGGTATTTTAATTCTTGCTTGTAGGATGCCTATCACCATCTGGCAAAGGGACTATCGGTGAAAACTAGCCTTTTGGCTAATTCGAGTACTTTTACATGTTTTTAATATGTTGATTAATGTACACTGTCCCTTGTTTTAAATAAATCAATTCAATTAGACCAACTGTTTTGTTATCTAGATTTCTCAGATGAGGGAGGCCACAATTCTCGCCCCTTTCCTTGGAAGGTTGCTATAAAGGCCTCAAAGCTACACTTCCCACAATGTGATTAAACAAATCATGTGTCAAAAGACAGACCTAAAAGGTAGTGTCCGCTTTGAATTAGGACAATGTATTTTTCTTTTGCTTGGAAAAACTATATTCAGTTTACTTTGGGCCAGCATTGATTTTCAAACCCTTGCAGAACATTCAAATTGAAATCCAAACCTCTTGTGTCCTCTCTGCACTGACCTGTGGTATGATGGTGATTCTGGAGCGAAGCTCATGGAGGCCCAGCTGAGCAATGTCAACCCCATCAATAAAGATGTGGCCCTCGGCTGCCTCGATGATACGGAACAATCCCAGCATTAGGGAGGATTTCCCCGCTCCAGTGCGCCCTACAATCCCCACCTTGTAGAAAGACGTAATAGCAAAAGTTACTGACCGGAGACACTGTTCACATGCATAACTCAACACAGAGAAAATGCAAATAAAAGTCTTATACTGTCTAACACTATCTGTCATATCACCCAAGCACAGTGACATTTTATCAAACACGACCCCTGAATTCACCCACAATCAATATGAGCATTGTGAGTGGCCCCCTGCTGTCAGTGTAGTGATGTAAAGCACACCTTCTCTCCGCTGCTGATGTTGATGGTGATGTTGCGAATGGCGAGGTCCAGATCTTGGCGGTAACGCAGGCAGAGGCCCCTCATGTCAATGCAGCCCTCAGTGGGCCACCCCAGGGGGAGGCTGGAGGTCTCTCGTTCCCACTCTGCCTAGTGGTCAGAGGACAGAAATGTTAAATATGTAGGTATGTATATATATATATATATATACAGTGGGGCAAAAAAATATTTAGTCAGCCACCAATTGTGCAAGTTCTCCCACTTAAAAAGATGAGAGGCCTGTAATTTTCATCCTAGGTACACTTAAACTGTGAGAGACAGAATGGGGGGAAAGAATCCAGGAAATCACATTGTAGGATTTTTAATGAATTAATTGGTAAATTCCTCTGTAAAATAAGTATTTGGTCACCTACAAACAAACACGATTTCTGGCTCTCACAGACCTGTAACTTCTTCTTTAAGAGCCTCCTCTGTCCTCCACTTGTTAACTGCATTAACGGCACCTGTTTGAACTCGTTATCAGTATAAAATACACCTGTCCACAACATCAAACAGTCACACTCCAAACTCCACTATGGCCAAGACCAAAGAGCTGTCAAAGGACACCAGAAACAAAATTGTAGACCTGCACCAGGCTGGGAAGACTGAATCTGCAATAGGTAAGCAGCTTGGTGTGAAGAAATCAACTGTGGGAGCAATTATTAGAAAATGGAAGACATACAAGACCACTGATAATCTCCCTCGATCTGGGGCTCCACGCAATATCTCACCCGTGGGGTCAAAATGATCACAAGAACGGTGAGCAAAAATCCCAGAACCACACGGGGGGACCCAGTCAATGACCTGCAGAGAGCTGGGACCAAAGTAACAAAGGCTACCATCAGTAACACACTACGCCGCCAGGGACTCAAATCCTGCAGTGCCAGACGTGTCCCCCTGCTTAAGCCAGTACATGTCCAGGCCCGTCTGAAGTTTGCTAGAGAGCATTTTAGATGATCCAGAAGAGGATTGGGAGAATGTCATATGGTCAGATGAAACCAAAATAGAACTTTTTGGTAAAACCTCAACTAGACGTGTTTGGAGGAGAAAGAATGCTGAGTTGCATCCAAAGAACACCATACCTACTGTGAAACATGGGGGTGGAAACATCATGCTTTGGGGCTGTTTTTCTGCAAAGGGACCAGGACGACTGATCCGTGTAAAGGAAAGAATGAATGGGGCCATGTATCGTGAGATTTTGAGTGACAACCTCCTTCCATCAGCAAGGGCATTGAAGATGAAACGTGGCTGGGTCTTTCAGCATGACAATGATCCCAAACACACCGCCCGGGCAATGAAGGAGTGGCTTTGTAAGAAGCATTTCAAGGTCCTGGAGTGGCCTAGCCAGTCTCCAGATCTCAACCCCATAGAAAATCTTTGGAGGGAGTTGAAAGTCCGTGTTGCCCAGCGACAGCCCCAAAACATCACTGCTCTAGAGGAGATCTGCATGGAGGAATGGGCCAAAATACCAGCAACAGTGTGTGGAAAACCTTGTAAAGACTTACAGAAAACGTTTGACCTCTGTCATTGCCAACAAAGGGTATATAACAAAGTATTGAGATGAACTTTTGTTATTGACCAAATACTTATTTTCCACCATAATTTGCAAATAAATTCTTTAAAAATCAGACAATGTGATTTCCTGGATTATTCCCCCCCATTCTGTCTCTCATAGTTGAGGTATACCTAGGATGAAAATTACAAGCCTCTCATCTTTTTAAGTGGGAGAACTTGCAATTGGTGGCTGACTAAATGAAGCTTAGCGCAAGTTCAAGAAGGAAGACCATACCCCTGGTGTTACACGTCACTGCAAGCTTCTCTCCCATTAAGTAATCAGGGGCGGTACTCCCCAGCTAGCAATCATTGCACCTGCTAAACCCTTTAAATCTGTTCTTCCCTCTCTGTCAGTTGTCATTTCAGGTGTCAACGCACAAGTGTACGCGTCACGGTGTTCATGGTTAAGCCAAGCAGCAGCAGGGCTTTGGCCCAGCTGAGGGCTTCCTTCCAGCTCCAGGCCTTTATTCATCAGCTCCGCAGTATCGCGGATTAAGCTACAGGCTGCGTTCCCCAGTCGGGTAGCGGGTCAGCCGGCCGTCCCGCAAGCCCGGACGCGGGAGGAAAAGACAAGGAAATCTGGCTCCATGGAAGTTCCTCCGGCCTAATGGGAATGGCTACTTCACGCAAACAACTGACGTACGCTTCAGTCTCTTGAGAAGGCATCACTGGCATCAGGGCCGCCTAATGCAGCGCTTCCGGCTTCACGCGGAACGGGTCCTCATCACATGCGGAGTTTTACCCATTCTGGCTTCAACTACAACCCCTCCTGCAGGCAGGCAGGCAGGGCTTAAGCTATCCCATTGAAGCTATTCCTCCTGCGCTCACTTCAACAGGCGTCAGGGTAACGTTGACAAAGGCAGTTGCAACAAATTCACGAGATGTTTCGTATATTGTTACGACATTTGGGTCATGCAGAGTGAGATCGCTACCCCTTAAGAGAGGGGTGTGGCGTGTGCATGTGTGCGTGCGCATGGTATGAGCGAGCGGGATACATGTTTTTAGAAATAAACGAGGCAGCAGAAAAAAGGAAGGTCTGCGATCTTGCGAAATCTATCTTGCGAAACAGGAGAGCTAAATAATGCAACGACCTCCCAAGAAGAGCTCGCCTCTCTCCAGTCTTTCCGATAAAATGGGTTATTGAACCAGAAGCGTGTTGCTTCTGCCCTGGGAGACGACAGAGAGTCACCCCCCCCCCCGTTTCCTCGACTACGGTCTGGGAGCCGACAGGAAGTTCAACACTATGCATTGCTACCTCTAGTCAGGGTTAAGGTGAGCTTCAGGCAGTGTTGGGGGTAACGTGCTACAGCATGGAGTTTCAGTAACGTATTACTTGCATTACTAATGCAGTCGGGTAATTACTCATTACAATGCTCACTAACTAAACGCAGGTTCAAGCTTCAACACAGCGTTTCCTGAAATGAATGGCGTTTCGTAGGGCTTCTTTTCCTCAATGAACAAGTCGCTGCACATTATCCTGTTTATGACCAGATACTAAATAAATTAGGAATTCACTCCCAATATTCATTTTAATGATTATTGACTAAATGATCGGTTTTCTCTTTTTCTTCTCCACTAAGAATATTCCGTTTCTTGGTGCACCAACGGCTAGATCTGCGACAACAACATCTCCTTGGCAGCAAGGCAAGTTTATTTATATAGCACTTTCAATACAAGGCAATTCAAATTGCTTTAAAAAATGAAAGACATTAAGAAATGGCATTTAAAATCAGTCATTTAAAAGGAAGCTAATAAAATAAACATTAAAAGAAAAAGTACATGGATCAAAGTACAGTGCAGTCTAAGATATGAATAGTTCAATTAAAAGCAGCGACAAAAGAAAAGTCTTCAGCCTGGATGTAAAAGTAGTCAGAGTTGCAGCGACTAAGGGTGCAACAACTCATCGACTAATCGATCAAATCGATTACCAAATTAGTTGCAACTAATTCAGTCGTCGATTCATTGTGACGTCAGCAGTGTGTTTACGTGCGTAAGCTCCAACGTTATTGGTCTTTTTATCAGTACCGGAGACATTTATAAATATATGTCATGTTTATTGCTACAAAAACATTATATCGCAGTCTAGTGTCACAACTCGTTCTAATATGCAAAGGACAAACAAATGCGCCTATGATGTATTTTCGATCAGATGAGATCTCTCTCCCCCATCGCGAGGGGACGGGGCAGTTTACACACACAGCTGCTACATGCAGCGGAGCACACTGCGGAGGTGGCGGAGAGAACGCGCTCCGAGGTGTGGTTAACTTCACCCGCTTCGACGTGGAGAATGCTCGTTGCCAAAGTGCAATAAGAGTTTATCATGTAAGGGCGTAACACGAGCACTTTGTCTAAACATTTAGCAAAAGTGCTCCACATCCAGACGGAGGAATGCACCGGGTTCCACTGTCTTTCTAGCAGCTCCGTAGCTCCATTCACGAGTAACGTTCCCACGTCAGATGTTATGTATGCTAGCAGCAACACACAGAGTAACTACATTATACAAACTCGGTTAATGATTAGAGGTAACTGAGTATTTATTAGTTTCAATTTCAGCTTTTCTGTTTACAGCCTGTCGACAGATTATTTAATACAATTCGGTAAATGCTCAGGGCAATCTCGATGACAAGGTCAATGTTCCCCCCTTTCTACGCACGGAGATAATGTAATCTAATAGCGTGCAGGCCAAGGCTGGCTCTTCAAAGCAGATATTACGACGCGCTTTAATGTTCCCATCATCGTTCAGCGGAACTCTTTCAGCCTTAAGTCAAGTAGGAGAAACTATGCGTGCACCGGCTATTCGGGTAATAATATTAATAGCGTCTCTCCCCAGTTCAAATCACCCACTGCTCAGGGAGATCTCCTAATGCGTTGCCTTCACGCATCTAGCGTTCAAATACAACATTACTAAACTACAACTCCACTCAACTGGGAAAAGAGAAGAAGAAACAGAAGAGACTCCTCCAGGAGCACAGCATTCCTAATCATGAGGAACTACAGGCCCAGTCTCACACCGGAGTTCCTAGCCATCACATCAAGCTCATGGTATTATCGTTCCTCTAACCAACTGCGTGCATCCACATAAACGTCTTCAACGACAGTTGCTCTTCCTCACCGGGAAACCGTACTTTGCATGCGGATTCTTCGGCACGCATCATCTCCCGTTTCCTGGACGTGGCATCTGCCGGCCTCACGACGACCGTGTTTTCCCCGACTTAAGGACGTGCACTGCACATCCTCCGTTTTGGGGGGGATATCTGCATGAGATCATTCGCATAGCGGCACACTCAGATTTCCACTATTTCTACACATTTATTATCACACTTGCTGGATCTAACACTAGCGTCCCTCCATCATCCTCACTTCAGATGATAGAAGACAGTCTTAATCACTCAATCAGCTCATCAGCATCTATGACTCATCCCGGCACACTTAACGCTAATTAAGATATACTATATCATGGGTCATGTCTCAGCATTTAACTAAGTGTACGTCTTTTCTGCGTGCATCCTGCACTTCATTCATATTCTCGGGTTCATGCTCACTTGGCTCGTGGTAAACCAGGTTACGATATTCATGCATCACCGTACTCAAGCTAACAGCTCTCGGGCATTATATCGTCTACATCTCCCTCTTCACCGGACATCGGCTCGTGCCGCCAATCAAGATCTCTTCAGTTTACCTATGGTAAATATGCATATAACTGGTGGTGGCGTCTAATAGCATATCAGGGCTTTCGTTCAGACAGGTGCAGCCATTCAAGGCATATCTCCCTCCTCCCTGCCAACTCGGACGGTGGTCCTCCTCCGCCTTCATATCCCACATTCGCCCGGACATCCGTGCGTGCTGGCTATCCAAGGTCCGAACACTAAACGGTATTTATACATACAACTGGTGGTGGTCTTAGCAAGTCAGCACATGTACGTGTCACCGTGTTCATGTTTAAACACTTCATATCGTCGTGACCTTCAGGTTCGCTCGTATTGAATCCTGCCGCGCAGGTTGCGGCCAGTGGGTCCGCATTATGTTTAAACCCTGCACGTGCAGGGCGAGTAGGTCAGTGTCATGTTTAACCCTGTGTGTACAGGTTGCGGCCTATGGGTCAGCATTTGTTTAACCCTGTGTGTGCAGGTTGCGGCCTATGGGTCAGCATTTGTTTAACCCTGTGTGTACAGGTTGCGGCCTATGGGTCAGCATTTGTTTAACCCTGCGTGTGCAGGTTGCGGCCTATGGGTCAGCATTTGTTTAACCCTGGGTGTACAGGTTGCGGCCTATGGGTCAGCATTTCGTTTAACCCTGTGTGTACAGGTTGCGGCCAGCGGGTCAGCGTCATGTTTAACCCTGCGCGTGCAGGTGGCGGCCGGTGGATCAGCGCCATGTTTAACCCTGCGCGTGCAGGTTGCGGCCAGTGGGTCAGCATCGTCTAATCCAACATGCAGGCGCTAAGCATGGTTGGCATTCACATTAACCCTACAGTTATTCCGACATTCTCATCATGTCCCCGTGTTATCTCATTTCATCCACAGATCTCCTCAATCAGCCAGCAAGGTAAGAAATGCTTCACATCTCAGCACTTCTCACTTCTCTTCTCTTTGGGGGTTCATCGGAGCGGTTTTCCCCTCCCGAATGATTATCCTACAAACCGGGGCCTAATCTCCAAACATCAGTTGATTCATTGTTGTAATCTGTCATCATAATTTTCTATACCACGTGTCCGGTATTAAACATGTATTTCATACATCACGTCTCTCATGATTGAAATGAAGCTTAGCGCAAGTTCAAGAAGGAAGACCATACCCCTGGTGTTACACGTCACTGCAAGCTCCTCTCCCATTAAGTAATCAGGGGCGGTACTCCCCAGCTAGCAATCATTGCACCTGCTAAACCCTTTAAATCTGTTCTTCCCTCTCTGTCAGTTGTCATTTCAGGTGTCAACGCACAACCCGCCTCCACCCCTTCGCCTCCTGTCTCCTAATTCAGGGCCAAGCTAATCCTTCTTCCTCCAGACCAGACCGAACCATTATCACCACCACCAGTGTCTAGACCCCGGGGGGTTCATCGGAGCGGTTTTCCCCTCCCGAATGATTATCCTACAAACCGGGGCCTAATCTCCAAACATCAGTTGATTCATTGTTGTAATCTGTCATCATAATTTTCTATACCACGTGTCCGGTATTAAACATGTATTTCATACATCACGTCTCTCATGATTGAAATACTTTTTTGCCCCACTGTATATATATATATATATATACACATATATATATACACATGCATATATATACATATATACACACGCACACACACACACACACACACACACACACACACACACACACACACACACACACACACACACACACACACACACACACACACACACACACACACACACACACACACACACACACACACACACACACACACAACACACACACACACACACACACACACACACCCACACACACACACACACACACACACACACACACACACACACACCACACACACACACACACACACACACACACACCACACACACACACACACACACACACACACCACACACACACACACCACACACACACACACACACCACACACACACACACACACACACACACACACACACACACACACACACACACACACATGATGAGATAATTATATATATATATATATATATATACATACACACACATAGATACACGCACACTTCAGAGTTCCCGTTAGCCGGTAATTACCGGACTACGACCGGTAAAATATGCTGAAGACCGGCAAATCTAAATCTCTCCGGTCAAAGTGTCCGTTCAAAATAATTTCCGCTTAGCGCAATACCACATCAGTTGCACAATTTGCACCATTTATGTGACAGACAAAAGAGTATGTGACAGACAAGAATAGTCAATTATAATGTCTAACACGTAATGTGGAGAAAGAGATGTCCTGTATGGGTTGATTGTGCGTTGATCTGTTGGTAATGCCTCGGGGTTCCGGTGGGCATGTAAACAAAGCATAATGCTGTGCTATACTTTGTGGCCTCACCCAGTTGCATAGCGACACTTATTGTTTAGGTGTCTTTTAATAAGCAGGTAGTCCTATCATTAGCTAGAACTAGCTGGATCTGATCGATATGGACATAAACGCGAGTGAAGTCTAATCTGACGGGAGAGAGAGATCAGCTGCTGCTGACGAGTCGACACGCAGCTCTGCATGATCACATGCAGCGGTGAGCGGAACAAAACACACACTTCAGGTTAGAATATCACACGTAGCTATTTTAATGACCTCTCAAACTACCTGAACTAGTTATAGATATGTTTAGTTTTACTGTCGGGTCCCTCATTACTGATCCGCGAGCTGCATGATACTGACGGGCTGTCAGGAGAGGGAGAGCGCTCCGTTTATTATTCCCGTGTTATTGTAAGTTACTGTTCACTTTTGAATAATGTAGTTAATCTACTATAATTAGTTTAATATTGAATCATATCAATTTGTTTTAAAGCTCAATAAATAACAAAGACCTTTGACCGGCACTTTTCTCATTTTGTCCGGAAGATTTAAACTTTAACGGACATGTTGACCGGCGAAGAAATATTCTAACGGGAACTCTGGCACACTTACAGGTATGTGTCTGTGCGTGTACAGAAACAAAATTGTAAATGAAGGTTGTATAGTACAGCATGTGTTGTGTGTGGCCTTGAGGTCATCATCATTAACTTAATTGTATCACATTAAACAACTTGTATAATTTAGAAGTTTCCTCTCTTTAATCCTAAATTGTAGGTTCTATCTAGCACCAAGAAGAAGCAAGGAGATGTCAAAAACAAATCCCATGTTTGTACCTCCTTCTCTGTGTCCTTGTACTCTTTCACTCTCTCCACAGCCACTATGTTGGTCTCCACGTCAGAGGACATCCTCACCAGCCAGGTTAGAGAGGCAGTCAGCTACACATACAACAGAGGAATGACAAATAGAGAGAAGAAACAAAAAGATGCAGAATTAAAAAGTAACAACCAAAGGTTTTGTGTCTTTTTTAGAAATGCCACCGACTTTGGATAACCAATCATTTAATAGTTTTCTTCAACATTGGTTGTTAAATTGGTACTGGAATTCATGAAGAAAAAATACTTTATCGCGGGTAAAAGCAGTGTTGTAGTCAAGTCACCAATCTATGAGTCCAAGTCACTCTCGAGTCCCCGCTTTTCGAGTCCAAGTCCGAGTCACCTAGGGAGAGTTGGAGTCGAGTCAGAGTCATCATTACCTGTGTTCAAGTCCAAGTCTGAGTCACCCAAGAAGAGTCCAAGTCTGAGTCACAAGTCTTCATGTATTCATCTTAGTGGATATATTTGTTGAAATGTAGCTGTAGCTCCTCTACATTGCTTTTATACTAATGTGTCTATTGAACTGCTGTGAAGCAAGTTTGGCTACAATTCTTGTATAAAAAGGTGCTATACAAATATAAAGCTTATTACTAATATTAATATTATTTATATTGTAAATGACCTTTAATATGTCTAACTATATTTAAAACGTGTTTTCAAATATCTTTTCAACTTTCAAATGTTCCTATGGTAAAGTTTTCGTTTTGCACTTTTATTTTTGATAGTAATAAGATCAGGACTCTTATTTTGAAGGAACTTTTACTGGAAGTTAATGGACAACGGAGCAGTGTAAACACTTGACACACATAGATGACGAATAAATAAATATATTAAATTAATATATACTAAATACAGTAGTTACATTGGGTTTTTAGCACCGGGCTGATAAGGGCACAAGCTCTTAAGTTGGTAATGATTGTATACAAGCAAGGGTGTGCAATAAACAGATACCATCAGTTGGAGAGTCTGACCCTCATTCAGCCGGGATGCTACAACTATTATAGTGAATGTTTAAATTATATCAATAAAGATTAAGCCCCAGAAAGCACCATGAAACATGAAAACATGAAACATGAAAGCACATGGCTACTTAACATGCAGAATGAAGTCATTTTGCATGCTAAGTAGCCATGTGCTTTCATGTTATCGGCTGAATCTTTATTTATTGATTAGATCACGTTACTCTGATGATAGTTTTCAAGACAGCCTCTATGTCTGAACTCGATCCTTAGAGTAATGTGTTACGGAGCCTTCTCTTCAATATTGTTTCCACATAACGAGCATTTTGCGCTGCTCTTTTCCAATGTGGAAGCAGAATGTGTGAAAGCATACAGCACGATGCGGGGTGTGTTTCTAGACATCTCTAGACTGGAATAGCGGGGCTCAGTATGTGAACTCGCCTCACAGGTGCACACGCCAGGATAGAGGACATCAGACTCCAGAGAAAACTTGCTCGATTCTGAGTCCAAGTCGGAGCGTCAATGTACAAGTCGAATCCGAGAATTCATGAGTCAGTGTCAACGTGCGCGAGAATTCACAAGTTCGAGTCCGCGCCAATCAGTGCGCGAGTCCGAGTCGAGTCATGAGTCCCTAAAATCGGCACTCGAGTACTCCATCTCTGCGTAAAAGTCAAAAAGAGTGTTTACCTGGAGGGCATAAGAGATAGCCAACCCCATGATGCCTGGACTGAGGCTCTCTCTGGCCATGACAGCAAGCAAAGCAGAAAATGACACGATGCAGTTTCCTACAAACTCCAGGCGAACAGCCAGCCACCTTAACAGAAACAGACCCAACAAGGAAATAAGAACATGGTGCCAACTAAGGCACAGTGTATGCAATCAGTGGGAAGACTGTTTCCAGCAGGTAGTACATTCAGTAAGAATGAGTCCGTCCCCAACCTGTTGGCTACTATGCTGGGATAGTAAGCCTTCTGGTTATGGTCCACCCGCAGGTCACTCTCACAGATAAAGCGCTCCTGTTCACCAAAGGCTCTGATGACAGAGGTGCCCAGCAGAGTTTCATTGAAGTGGGTGAAGATGGGTGAACGACTGACCGACTCCAGACGCTTCAGCTGGCGAGATGACGCAACATAAAACCTCTGGACGGAGGAAGGACAGAGACACATTTAGTCAAATCAATAAACCAGACAGAAAAAAAACATACCTCTTTTGCACAAAATATATAAAAAGAAAGACAACTATTGTTATGTCATATGTCAACTTCCAACTAACCTGCACAAAAAAGTAGAGCAGGCCGAGAACAGGAATTATGATAGCTACCAGCGGTGTGGCGATCAGGATAATCACACAAGAACCCAACACGTTTAACATGGAGCCCATGAACATCTTAATAATGCTGGGGATCACTGAGTCAATGGTGTCCATCTCCTTGGCAAAGCGGTTCACCAGGTTGCCGCTTGGGGTTCGCTCAAAGAAAGATATAGGTGAGCGCAGGACGTCATACAGCATGGAATTGTGTAGGCAGCGGGAGGCCAGGATGCCCCCAATGGATATGGAGATGGAATATCCGAAAACTGCCACACCTACAAAAGAGTATTGAGCTTCATTGGGTGTGATGATTCCTACTGTGACTCTTAAATACACATCCCCTACTGTCTTAAAACATCACATTTCATCTTTCTGTTTAAAAAAATATTTGATTCATTTAAAGTGAGGATGAAGTGCAAATGAAGTTAATCTAGAGAACGTCAGGGGTTGATCATTTTTCAATGTTTTCTCAGAATATCATAATCATATATAACTATTATCTATCTACCAGTCACAAACACACGATGTTGAGGAAAACATCATTTGTTAATGCTCTTCTCCGCTCTTTATGAAGGCCCACCAGATCAATATGAAGCGAATTAAGAAGGCATTTTCAGAGGTTTATAGATTTGATCCTAATGCAGCAAAAGTGGTCGAATTAGGTTGTTGTGAAATTGTGAATAGCTTTGTAAGAGCCATTATGGCATATTATTGTTTATGGTCATTATTTTTGCTTTGTTTTGAATGCATCTTTGGGCACTGAGTGATTTGGGCACCTGGTGTAATTGTATATATTGGAGACAAGTGCTGGTGGGAGGAGTGCACCAGTATGGCATATGTTTTTTTAGCAGGGAAAGCAAAAGGAGGCCTTAGGAGAGGCTCAGGGAAAATAAAACTGTTGTACTTGATGATATTGGATCATAGAATAAAATGCACAGAAAGGACTTTTGCCTGGACTTGGATCATTTACCCCTGCGGCAGCTTTATTTGGAGTTCATTTTCAGTTTGATTTCTTCTTGATTTTGGACGCTACAAGCTTATTCAAACATCCACATGGATACTATTTGGCATTCAAGAGCAAACAAGCTACAGCTAGACATTGATCTGGCATTGGTTGCATTGTCACATCTGTATTGTGCATCCGTTACCGCTCCTCACCCTGAGAGAGGCCGAGAGCTCCGTACACCCCCAGTCTCATCTTTCTGTTGGGCTGAGTGCCGTTCACCACGGGGTCGTCGGTCCACAGGCTCAGCCAGTAGTTGGAGAAAAGGGAGAGCAGGTGATGGGTGAGGAACAGCATCAGACTGATGCAAGACAGAAGCACCCCAATGGCTTTCAGATAAGACCAGAACACAGACAGCTTCACCTGGGGAGGGATAGGAGAGGATCAGGCTGTTACGGACCATCACATACCACACAAATATATATATATATATATATATATATGATGATTGTTACAGTGCCTTGCAAAGTATTCACCCCCCTTGGTGTTTTTTTTCCAACCTGTAAATTAAGTACAGAACATGCCTACCAGTTTGAAGATAAAATAAAATAGTGCATAAATATTCCCTCCTAAAGTCAGTACTTAGTAGAGTCACCTTTTACAGCAAATACATCTGCACGTCTCGTGAGGGGTGTCTCTATAGGGTCGGCACATCAATCCAATGTGATTTAATGTCATTAATCTTTTAAAAACTGCTAACGGTAGCTAGTTTAGCTTGATATATAGCCATGGCTCTTTCCCCACCCTCGAGTGTTCTTTCCTGCTCTACCTGTCTCATGTGCCGTTACTTCTCTACCTCCTTTAATGTGTTAAATATAGTATAGTTGCTAGGTTGGAGGTGGGAATCATAGAAATAGAAGACATGAGGTCCCCACCAACCCGTTCACGTATCTAACAGATATTCCCCACTCAGCGAGGCACCGCTATTCTATCTATCTATTCTGAGATACGTGAATTTAGAGACCGAAGCCTCCACAGTCACATGCATTCCGGGGGCCAGAGCGGGCGACGTTGAGATGCATCTTAAACTGCTGGCTAAGAATAAACGTAAATACAGTAGGATTGTTATTCACGTCTGTGGTAATGATGTTTACACCAATCAGAATGCACCAAAGTTAATGTGGTGTCTGTGTGTAAATATGCTAAAACAATGTCGGACATCGTAATTTTCTCTGGTCCCCTCCCCAATCTGATCAATGACGACATGTCATAATTTCAGCGCTGGTTGTCTTGGTGGTGTCCAGCAAACGATGTGGGCTTCGTAAATAATTGGAGATGGCATTCATCCTACTTTGGAAGTTGCAGATCTAATTTTGGCCTATATTGTAGGACTTTTTGGACTTAATCCATGAGAAACTTGAGTTGAGACCAGGAGGCGGAGTCGCAGTCTTAAACGCTTCACTTCGTTTCTCCTGGGCAGTCATTCATATGAATCCCGAACCAAATAAAATACCCAATATTAACGGTGTGTGTGTCTACAACTTAAAGGTCTCCTGTTATACTATTTTTAGGCATATATTATAAGTCTCAGATATACAGTCCCCTCCAAAACTATTGGAACAGCGTGGCCAATTGCTTTATTTTTGCTGTATACTGAAAACAATTAGGTTTTACATCAAAAGATGGGTATGAGACAAAAGGTCAGTATTTCAACTTTTCATTCCAGGTATTTACATCTAGATCTGTTAACCTGTTAAGCACTGAGCCTGTTTTTCAGGTATCAGGCTCGAAAATGACATTTCCAGAACAAATGACCATAACTACACTTCTAAAAAGGGTTAAATTAATAATCTTTTTTCTCAAAGTAATGATAAACCTGTGAGTTGGATGTAGAAAAGTCAGAATCAATATAGATGTTTTTTATTTTAAATAAAATTCAGATTGAACATAGTAAAAAAACTGTAAATTACAGTGTCCGTCCAAAACATATTTTTTACTTATAGTGAACTACCCTTGGATGATGATATGGTAGACTAAAAACGTTAGGAATCCAAAGTACAACATATAATAAGTACCCTGTATCAAGATTGATGAAAAACAAGTGATATTTGACCTTTTTAGAGAGGTTTAGCAACAAAAACTCCTCTGAGGTGATTTGGGTGGAAATGGTAGTTTTTACCGTTGCTCTGGAACTCATTGGTCGATTTTGGTGATTGACATCTCTTTTTAACAGTTAGAGCCAATATAATTGAAGGGGAATTTCCCCATACACACACACACCTTACCATTGAGAAATGAGAGCTATGCGCACATAGTTTTGCATGAGAGCGAACCTATCTCTAGCTCTGACATCTGGAAACGGAAAAGCAGGTTTATTGCTCATGGATTATCAGAAATCATTTCAAAGGGACACAGACACATTGGATTAACCTATGGATTAACTTCAGCAGCGTTTTTATCGTTTTAATGCCATTGAAGACCACTTTTGACCAGACTACGACACAGGTGAGCCATGTTAGCGTTTTTAGCTACACAGCGCCACATGTTTTAATGTCTGTTCTTGCTATTATCTTTGCGAGTTCTTATCATGGAGTGATGATGTATGTACCGATCGACTCTGTGTCTTCTCACGATGCGAAACGATGGGTTGGACGTTCAGCTACGATAAATAGGGTGTTATGAGTGAGTTTCTGTACAGTAATGCGTTATCATTGTTTCGCTCGTGGCTAATTCATAGGCTCAGCGCTAGCTTTGTGGGTTTAAAAAAAAAAGAAAAAAAAAAAAGATCAGTTAGCAGAGTTTCTTCCCGTTACATGGATATAAAACATTCATAGTTTATTGAATATTAAGATGCCCTCAGACGCTGTTTCCTGCAGATTACGCGTTTCCCCCCCCGGTATCGGGGGGGCGGTGCTTAACAGGTTAAACAACTGAGAAGATAGCACCTTTTCTTTAAACCCACCCATTTTTTAAGTAAGCAAAAATAATTGGAACATGTTACTGACTGATGTTTTTTGATGGCCAGGGGTGTCCTGCTACATTGATTATTCAAACAATAAATAGCACTGCATGTATACTCAGTTTTAGAGATGTCTATGGGAGAAAAGCAAGCAATTTTGAAACTGAGAGAAGATGGAAAATACATCAGAGCCGTTGCACAAACATTGGCCATAGCCAGAACAACCATTTATTGTGCCATCGACTACTCTGTGATAAGTTTCTTAATTGTTTTATTGAAAAAGTATCTGCACTTAGGCTAGCCCACACTAATGCTACCCCAGATTCTGCTCCTTTTCTGTGCCCTGCTGTCCTCGACCACTTTGAGCCTGTATCCCTCTCTTCTCTCTCGGATGTAGTCATGCACCTGCGGCCGACAAACTGCACCTCAGACAGCATTCCCTCTCGCCTTCTCAGAGACGTTTTCGAATCAGTTGGAGCAAGTGTTGTATTGCTTGTAAACACCTCTCTTAGCTTAGGATGTGTCCCAGCTGCCTTCAAACATGCCGTGGTGCAGCCACTACTTAAAGAAAAATCTCGATCCCTCCATTCTCGCAGATTTTAGGCCCATCTCCCAGCTACCTTTTTTATCTAAAGCCCTGGAGCGAGTAGTCTACGCCCAGCTGCAGTCTTTTTTAACCACGCATGGCATCCATGAAAAGTTTCAGTCTGGCTTTAAACCCATGCATAGTACTGAAACAGCCCTTTTAAGAGTTTTTAATGATCTGCTCCTAGCCACCGACTCAGGTAGCCCAGCTGTCTTGGTGCTGTTAGACCTGACAGCTGCCTTTGACACTGTGGACCATAGCATCCTGTTGTCACGGCTTGAACAGTCCGCAGGCATCACAGGCTCTGCCCTTGCATGGTTCAGGTCCTACCTGACAGACCGTAGCTTCTCAGTGCAGCTAGGTGCCTTCTCCTCTGCTAAAGCCCCTCTTACCTGTGGGGTTCCCCAAGACTCTATCCTGGGCCCCATCCTCTTTTTACTGTACATACTGCCCATAGGTTCAATTCTCACTAAACACAATATTAGCTTCCACTGCTACGCCGACGATGTACGATAAAGTGTTTTGCTCAAAATACATGCAGGAGAATTCTACCCAGACACTCAGCTAAACACTGCCGTGATTAAACGCCATATCATGTTCCAAACCACATCAAGGATTATTTCTGAAACAGTAACGGCCCCTACACACGGCGGCGTGCGTTGCCGCTTTAACGCTTCTGCCCATTCACTTTTAATGGGGTGACGTCACGCTTCGCCGAACTGCATTGTGGGAGCAAAGCGTAGCTTTTCTCGCGATGCTCGCTGCAAAAGTAGAGCAATGTTCTACTTTTGAAGCTTCGACAGAGGCGTCAGCCAATCGAATCATATGCCAGTACAAGCTCTAGCCAATCATACCGCGTGCTTGTGTGTCTGGGGCGGGAGATTCATGTGATTGGTTGTTGGTCGAGTTTCAGCCCCTCTCTCAGGAAAGCGACAACGCACGCCGCCGTGTGTAGGGGCCGTAAGGAGCTCAAACTCTTTCTCTCTCGCGGGTTTACCACAAGGCGAGTAACTTTTATATCCGACTTCTTTACACATATGCTCTCCAGTACAGGGTTAGCTCTGAGTGTTAGTGATGCTTGCTAATGTAAACGAAGACCATAGTACTTCCATAACACGTCACACATTGTTTCTGATAGCGATGTTTCTGATGGGGCCGTGGGCGTAAAGCAGTGACCACCAACTGGCGGCCCGCGGGCCACATCCGGCCCGCCAGACATTCTCATCCGGCCCGCACGACGGGGGTGACTGCGGCGTGGTTACTGCGTTCGCAGTAACCACTGTGTGCAGTACCGGAGTCCAACAGAGAGGCAGCAGCTGCAGGACAGTAGACTGCGTACTGCGAAACCTTCCCTGCCTTGAAGAATAAGTGATCCTTCGTTATGAAGAGTCTGGTTTGTGCGCTCCGCACCACCGCAGCAGCCCTGCTGCGACAGAGTCCAACAAAGAGGCAGGAGCTGCGGGACAGTAGCCTAGAAGCAGAACCAGTTACTGGGTTGTAACGGAATACATGTAACGGCGTTACGTAATCAGAATACAAAAATCAAGTAGGCTAACTGTATTCAGCTGGCGTTACATTTGAAAAACGAGTAATCTGATTACAGTTACTTTCGTAAACCTGAAGTGAATACATTTTGGAATACTTTTTGGAATTATTGGTGGAAACATTTCCTCACAAAATGTAATATTCATTACCGGCAGAGCTGTGTGCACACTGCACGGCGCTGCAGCATGTCTGTGAGCGAGAGAGAGCTGCAGCGTGTCTGTGAGGCCCCGCCCCCGCACGCAGATGAGAGAGAGATCTCTTTTAAAATATATTGAAAGTTAGAAACGGAGATGGTTAGATAAAATGTGCAAGATAACGTTTATGTAGCATTTA